CGGCTACCCACAAAGGATTTGGCGATAGACTGTCGCCTCTCTATCGACATCGGCTTTTCGGGTGTCGTTTCGACCTCCACCAAAGCTTATCTGTGCTTGTCGACATACACCAGCGATTGTTCGAATGTATAATAATATAACCAAATATTCAGTCTTTCACCAACGTATTTTGTATGTGTCGACATTCTCTAATTTCAGTCTTTCACAGTAACATATATAAGCACACGTGATAAATGTATATTTGTTTTTAAATTTATATACTTGTCAATAATTAATTATTGAAAATTTATAAAATGAATAGTTATAATAAATATAACAATGCCTAAATTGTAATAATTGTAAATATTTCCAGCCATTACAATATATAAAATACATTTAATATATTTTGTTTTACTGTTTTGCCATAAATTGAAATATTTATATTATTATAAATAAGTTAAAATAATAAATTAATATATATAATTTTAGGTTGAAACTGAAATATCTAAGGAGAAAAATGCATTATTACAAAATATAAAACAGCTTAAACTTAAAATTCATGAATCACAAGAGAAATATGACAAATTAAAAAAAGAAACGGAATCTATATTTGAAGAGCAACAATTGACAATAGAAGATTGTAATCTGAATCTTAGTAAAGTGAAAAATGAGTTAGGATATGAGATGTAAGATCATTTTTATTTATATTTTTTTATAATTAACTGAAAAATGTAATTATAATTGAATCTGCTTAATACATATTATGCAATTTCACTACTCATTTTATACAGAAAATTCTCTCATAATTTTACCATTCAGTTTTTGACAACATGCAGCCATTTTCTTTCTAAGAATTTTAAACTGAACTGAGAAAAACATTTTGTACTGATCTTGAGACACACTGATTTTGTACTGTAAATTACACTATTATCTATCATAGGACTTGAGATAGGCATGCATGGTGTCCAAATCAATAAATATCTAACTACTGATTACCTATACTCTAGTGCAATTGCATTTAGAAATTGCATAGCAGAAGCAAATGTAGTCTAATACAATGTTTGTATCTATACCTTGTATGGGCATGTATGTCTTCATATCTCAATTTGATTGTAACTGCATAAAGCGTTGAACAAGAACATTGTCATAGTGCTCTTGTATCTATTTTTAGTCTCTTAATCTATTTTGCAAATAAAATAAGTAATGATGATAATTTGTTTTATAACAAGTAAAAAATTATTACATTAGGCTAATTATTTTTCTTTCACCAGCAATTATTATTAGTTGAAGAAAACTAATTAATATAATAACGGATTTTATTTTATACAGTATCTCAATTTTCCTGAAAAATACATGGACATCATGTATTTTTCAGGAAAATTGAGATACTGTATAAAATAAAATCCGTTATTATATTAATTAGTTTTCTTCAACTAATAATAATTGCTGGTGAAAGAAAAATAATTAGCCTAATGTAATAATTTTTTACTTGTTATAAAACAAATTATCATCATTACTTATTTTATTTGCAAAATAGATTAAGAGACTAAAAATAGATACAAGAGCACTATGACAATGTTCTTGTTCAACGCTTTATGCAGTTACAATCAAATTGAGATATGAAGACATACATGCCCATACAAGGTATAGATACAAACATTGTATTAGACTACATTTGCTTCTGCTATGCAATTTCTAAATGCAATTGCACTAGAGTATAGGTAATCAGTAGTTAGATATTTATTGATTTGGACACCATGCATGCCTATCTCAAGTCCTATGATAGATAATAGTGTAATTTACAGTACAAAATCAGTGTGTCTCAAGATCAGTACAAAATGTTTTTCTCAGTTCAGTTTAAAATTCTTAGAAAGAAAATGGCTGCATGTTGTCAAAAACTGAATGGTAAAATTATGAGAGAATTTTCTGTATAAAATGAGTAGTGAAATTGCATAATATGTATTAAGCAGATTCAATTATAATTACATTTTTCAGTTAATTATAAAAAAATATAAATAAAAATGATCTTACATCTCATATCCTAACTCATTTTTCACTTTACTAAGATTCAGATTACAATCTTCTATTGTCAATTGTTGCTCTTCAAATATAGATTCCGTTTCTTTTTTTAATTTGTCATATTTCTCTTGTGATTCATGAATTTTAAGTTTAAGCTGTTTTATATTTTGTAATAATGCATTTTTCTCCTTAGATATTTCAGTTTCAACCTAAAATTATATATATTAATTTATTATTTTAACTTATTTATAATAATATAAATATTTCAATTTATGGCAAAACAGTAAAACAAAATATATTAAATGTATTTTATATATTGTAATGGCTGGAAATATTTACAATTATTACAATTTAGGCATTGTTATATTTATTATAACTATTCATTTTATAAATTTTCAATAATTAATTATTGACAAGTATATAAATTTAAAAACAAATATACATTTATCACGTGTGCTTATATATGTTACTGTGAAAGACTGAAATTAGAGAATGTCGACACATACAAAATACGTTGGTGAAAGACTGAATATTTGGTTATATTATTATACATTCGAACAATCGCTGGTGTATGTCGACAAACACAGATAAGCTTTGGTGGAGATCAAAACGACACCTGACTTATCATTTTATGCAAAATGTAAAAGCAATAAATTTGTGTTCACCCTGCATTCTCAGCCTTTGCTCATCTGCACATGCATAAATTTTTGTGGCTTTGTACTGTGTACAATTGCCTATATGCATAAGAGTTGCAGTATAAAATCTGGTGTTGTCTTTGAGTTACAGTAACAATACCCAGACCTTGTAAAATGCAGAAAATTTTTTAATTCTTTTGCATTTTTGCAGAAGAATTTCATTTTCCTGTTTCATTTTCCTGAAGAAGGTTGAGTACAACAACCAAAAATGTTTGGTTGTTGTACTCATGAGTACAAGGTTGAGTACAACAACCTTCTTCAGAAAAAAGAAACTACACTTTAAAAAACATGATCTGGAAAGTATTCTGGAACAAGTTGATTTTAATATTAACATTTTAGAACAATGAAAAGTTTAAATGACTTCTATGTAAATTAAAATATAAATATACAAATAAAAACCAAAATCACATTCAAATAAAATAACAGCTAGTTTAAAAAATTGAGTAGTATTAATGTTTTTGTTTTATAAACATTGTCAATGAACAATGTTTAGTGCTTTTCAGTAAATATACTCTAAAGAAAGATCCAAACCAAGATGTATAAATATAATTTTGATTGTAATGTCCCAAATAAGAGCAAGGTATTTTAGAACACTAGAGGACAAGTGTCTGGTGAAAAATGCAAATTGCTGGTCACTAATTGCATTATAACAAATTTACATTAAATGAAACTGTCTTAAACAGGATATTCATATAAAAAAATATTGTATATCCTACAAAATAAGTGTTCCATATTTTTTAAGTCGTTTTTCTTCTAATTTATTTTATCTTAATTAAAATGAATTAGTTAATCTATATATCCTTAAAATTGATTGATGTTCTGTCAATTTCTCTAGATATTTGAGTTGATTTAATTGGCCCATGCAATGTGAAAGTTTGACACTGGTAAGATACACTTGAACCTGCTGATTCATTGCAAATACAGTCAGTGCTGTAATGTTCTGACTTTTTTCCAATGATGCTAAATGCTTTTTTTGATTATTGATTGAGTGGGTGGGTCAGGGTGCTGTTTACTGCAAATTCTGACCATCCCTGTGTCTGTAACAGGAATAGTGTATATCCTGGGAGTTGTAGGTCACTTAGAGGATCTTTAGAATTTCTAATCGAAGAATATATTTGGGTTGCATCTAAATGCAATAGAGATATTATTCAATCTTTCTAATTCTTTGTAATTTTGATGTACCCCAATGATTTGAAAATACCATTGGTCTTTGATTTTGGAAGTCAATAGGAGTATTGTTTGACAAGTTTCTTGATAATGATGAAGGATAGCCATGTTTTAAAGTAACTTTTTTGATGTAATTTAGTTCAAATATTTTGTCTTTACTGTTGGAGATGTGTGACTCTTTGACTGTGAATCTGAAAGCCACCAGTTTATATGAATATGACTCTCTTGATATAGATTGAATAAACAACACAGTCTTGATTCAATGCAGCTTCTTTTAGGTTACAGCTTTTGTATATTTGCATGACATTTTTATTATAGATAAAACAAATACTGTTGAATGAAAAAATACTTAATGTGTTCTTTGACTTTAATTATTTTAGAACTTAAATGTAGCATCTCTTAACCTAACCACTAACTGAAGGGTGATATTTAATATAAGATGATGATATCTTGAGAAATATTTTGAAATGCTTTTATAACAGGCCAGTAAAGTAATGTTTGATTATTATAGATTAAAAACCCAAAGATCCAGCAATGGATATGAATACAGTGAGTAGCAATTTCCACATACCTATACTTGTTTCTGGTTCCTTGGATAAAAATTTAGGATTGATGAATTCCATATTTGAATTGTAAACATAATATTGTACAGTATTTACAAAATTTAAGAAAATTTTTAGTTATTCAATAAAATAATTTAATGTTTAAATATTTAATGAAATAATCCTAGACGTAAATGTTTTTTTTCACATTTACGAAATCTCTCTCTCTCTCTCTCTCTCTCGCCAGACTTCAATGAATAAATAAAATAGTCTAATAAGACTATTATAATTTGTTATAATAAAGTAGTTTTTTATATTTATTGAGGTAATTTTTTAAAAAATATTTTACACAATTTTAAACTGTAGTTATAATTGTAATATTTCATTCTTATTGGATGTTTAGTGTGATGTCATATAATTTTATCCAAATATTTCAGTTTTGGTTGAAATTAGAAAAAGATAATTAACTTTTTTTAATCAGTTATTGGAACCTATGGCTTTACAGAGTACTTTTCAGGACCTTGAAAGGTCCATGCAAAAGCTTTCCTTTTTGACAGATACTATTACATTAATTAAATATGTATTGTACTCACAAAATATCTGTCTTGTTTGTAATAATAAGTTAATAATGGCTTAGATTCACAACTTTCTCTCTACTCTTAATTGATGAGATCCTGCAAAATATTTCTTAGTTTTTATTTCAAATATTTATTTTAAAAATTAGAAATTCATTCAAATGGCTTAATGTCAAAGTATAATAGCAAAATATCAATTATTTAGATTAAAATATTACAATTACTCTTTTATGCTTAAACTTTGTAGGTTTTATTTAATGTGAAATAGTATTTTCTATAAGAATTTGTAAATTGACTCCAATGATTTTCAAAATTTTCTGATTACACTTACAGAATATTTCAGTATTTAATTTTAGTTTTGACTATTAGTAGGCATCCTGTTATAATTAGACAATATCAGAAGACATTTTTGATATCTATCAGTAGATTAACTTTTATTTTAAAACTATTTCTAAATAAATATTCTAAAAAACATTCAATTTGAAAGTGTTTACTTTGTTTTCATCAAGGCATCAAATTAAAAAGTTATGCAATTTTAACTGTCTCAATAGATATTGACATTTAGTTGATATGATTTTTAATTTTATAATAATAAACTTCAAAATATCAAATAATCAGTCTTTGTCTTCTGATTAAAACAGACTACATAAATTAAATAACGTCTTCACTTTCTTTTCATTAACACCAGTGACAGTCCAAAACAGAATTCTTATATTCGGAGATGATGTTTTTATGAGACTATGCTCACATAACATGATTTAAATTGAAACAGTATCCTCTGGTAAATTAGCCAATTTCACAATAAAATACATAAAGGTAAAAATTTGAAACCTTGGCTGATGGTGTTTAATGTTGAAAGGTCATCTCCTTTTATAAGAATTCTGATTTGGACTGTTGCTGATGTTAACAACAGAAAGAAAGTGAGGATGTTTACAAGGTTTTTTTAAATATTTACTTGTACTGTACAGACTGCATATGACAAAACTTATGTTATTAATCTCAGCAGAGGTTGTTCTTTGAAAAATTTTTGCATACATTCAATGAAAGTCTGCCATTGCAGTTTAGTTGTCTAAATTGTTGTGTTCAAAATTTCAGTTTAAGATTATTATATTGTTTAGATATTGTAAATTATTTTTTAAAAAATTTTTATTTTATATGAATTTTGTTCCAAAAATTTTATTTCAGTTGTCTGCAAAGAGAGAGTTGTTCTTTCGTCAGGATGGGCAACCAGTTTCTACTAGTATTACATCTAATACAACTACAACAACTACAAGCACAACGAATTCGGTGACGTTAAAAGAATCTATATTCAATAAAGAAAAAGAAATTGTAAAAGACATGTCACATTCAAAGGAATCAGATGGTTATGTTGGTTTTGCCAATCTCCCAAATCAAGTCTATCGTAAAGCAGTCAAAAGAGGATTTGAGTTTACATTAATGGTTGTAGGTGTGTATTATTTTTAATTTCATCTATTCTTCATAAATAATAATGTATAAATTGTGTGTGTGTGTGTGTATTATTAATTATTATATATATATAACTAGTTAAGCATAGCTAAAAATAAATGTTAATCAGAATTTTGACTCTTAGGCATAAATGTATTAAAGATAATATAAAGAAAAATGTAAATAATAATTAATTTGAAAAACTAGATAAAATTCTGACTACTTAACATAAACGGAAAGTTAATAAATTAATCAATTTGCTTCTGTTATGCACTTTTAATAATTATGATGATAATTAGAACTTATCCATTAAATAAAGTGCCTGTAAAGAAGGATGATGTACTTAGTGTGTCAGTAGTTCTATCTTAAACAGGTATCATACCACATACACTACAAAAAACTATCATATTAAACACATTGAGGTGAGGACTAGAGGGTTCTGTCAGACTTGAATACAGTTTTACAGCAAGGAATTTGAAGTTTGAAGTGAATACAGGATTAATTATTACTGTTATAGAAAAGAGATTATTTTCGAAAAGAAGAATATTTTGTTGTTGTAATAGTGCATTAACCATTTATTTCACAGTTACAAATAAATTATTGTTTATATAGCAATATAACTTATGGTATACACAGACAGAAATTTTGGTTTGAGCTTTAAATATTAGATTCAGAAAATCCTCTGCTTCAGAATTATTTTGTAAAATTCAACATCAACTGTAGACATAAATTTCATCATCAAATGAATGCCTTGAATCTTCTCTAACTTATGAATATTTCATTTCCTGAAATGGATACTTTGACTTGTAGAAGACAGATCTGCAATACTTGTTTGTAATGAGTTTTCATTCTTGAAACTTTATTACAGGTCTAATTACCATGGCTTTTCTTAAAATTAGTGAAAGTATTATTTGAGAGAAATTTTAGTTGTACTAACTAAACTTAGTGTAAAATCATTGTATGTAATAAATGTTTTACTTGGGATATTATAGTCATGAAATCAAATGGACTCATTTGAATAATAATGTAAGCTTTGTTGCAGGAATTATTCTTATCAAAGACACTGAAGACCAAACTCCCTGAAATTTTCAAATATTTTTCTTTATTTGAATGAATGTCTTTCTCTACATACAGTAGAACCCCTCTAATCCGTCACCTTTGGGACTGGGGGTATGGTCGGAATGCAAAAAAGGTCGGATTATCAGAAAAAAGTAAAATAAACAATCTTCCCCTTTGTCCAGTCTTTGTAGCACTGCTAATTTTTCATTTANGCCACACACTTGTTGGCTGAGGACATTGTCTGAAATAGCTTCAGTGGATTCCCCATGTGCTTCCATTGCATTGATTGGAATTTTGTCCAGTTCATGGTAATGGAGTTGTTTCTCATCACTGGTCACAAACCTGGACATGAAGCCTGCTGGATTCTGGTCATAGCATTACAGGAGATGACAGCTCCTGTCTTTATGTTGTTGCATTTGTGCTGCAGTCAGTAATCTTAAAGTGCTCATGCATGGTGTGCTATAGGGTGACTCTGGCAAGTTCTGTGGCTGCCTCTATTTCCAAAAATATGATGTACCTGTTTTCCAGGATGATCTGCTCCACCCAGGGAATGTTGATTGTCATTGTTACTTTCACTTTCCTTCTCTGTTTGTGTAGCCATGTTTTCTGTGATGGTGCTTGTTCCGCACATACTGCCACCAATTGCTTATGAATCTGTAGTATTCACACCCTCCTTCCAGGGAAACCAAGTCATCTGCTGTTTCCCTTGATAATCACTCTCTATGATGTCAACTCAGTTGCTGACTGAAAAAATTTGCTGTGGTATTCACAGTTTTTACTCTTCTGTCCAGTGTTGCCATTTAAAAAGCACACCAATGCCTAGCTAATGGTGCCTGTTATAACATGCGACATTAATATCAGCATAAAACATAAAGCATGTTTGAAGTTAAAATGATTTTCTAGGCATGCTGTGATACATGAATGGAAAATTTTTGTCTTCACATTATTTTTCTGCAGTTGGGAATGGTGCTTTATTATAATATAAAATTTTTTATTTTTTCATTTAACACTTAAATTCATCACATTAACTGGGTAGTTAGTAAAATCATGGAATGTTCTCATAGAATGTTTTGAATGGGTGACATACCCATTCAAATGATTCTAGGAGAACATTGAGTTAAATGATTTGGCTAATATATTGATTTAAATTGTGTGTGTATATTTGCAATCTGTTTAGAATTATTAAAACTATATTTTCAGTTGGCAACCTATAGTTGATTTTATAGAGAGTAAATGTGAAGAATACCTTAATGCAGAATCTAGAGTTAACAGAACAACTATTCCTGATACTCGTGTTCACTGTTGCCTTTATTTCATTGCACCTTCTGGGCATGGGTAAGTTTTTGTTTGTCAAATATTAATTTTTTCTTTTTTTTCTAAAATTGTATTATACATTCTTTATTGTACATTTGATTTCAGACTCAAGCCTTTAGATATTGAATTTATGAAACAGTTACATGATAAAGTTAATATTATTCCACTTATTGCAAAAGCAGATACGTTAACACCTGAAGAATGTTCTTTTTTTAAAAGAACAGTGAGTATTAAAAATTTAAATTTTAAATTTGTTAAAGAAAAAAGATATTACAATCTACAGTATTAAATATTCAATGTTAAGGTATAGTACGGGGGCTATTTTTTAAATAAGGTCCATTTGTGAATGAAAGTGAGAATGACGTGCGATTGCAGCAATGTGTATGAGCATCTGCTTTCAGCATGCTTTGCGTGTGTTTAGATGCCATTGGCAGCCATATTGTCTGTCTGTGTGATGAATTGTAGAAGTTTATAATGTTTAAGAAAATTGAGTTACCTGCCGACTGCAAGATACGATCTGTTATTCAATTCCAGCACAAAAGATCATGATAACTGTCTTTTGGGACAGGAAAGGGACTTTGTTAGTGGATTTTATGCCAAGAGGCACAACAATCAATTCTGATGCTTATTGTGACCTTCAGAAAACTCCGCCGTGCCATACAAGACAAGCGGCATGGCCTAATGTCTTCTGGTGTCAGGCGGCAGATTTCTTTGAAGTCGGAATTTAAAAAATTTTTGAGTGGTATGACAAATGTTTGAACAAAAATGGAAATTATGTAGAAAAGTATATAAAAGTATGTAGAATATGAGAAAAAATGTATTTTAATAATATTTACAGTATTTTTCTTCTTATTAAAAAACAGACCTTATTTAAAAAATAGCCCTTGTATATACTATTATGTATATTTACAATATATTTTATATTACATATTTTTTCAATAACAATCTGTACCGTACCATTTTAAAATTTTAATTGGCATCCTCTTCTTCACATAGCTTATCTGAATTTTTTTTCCAGTTATTGTTACTAATATTAATAATAATTAAATGTTAAACATTTGCAGTTTATCATCATTGAATTTTTCTCATATATATATATAAAACTGAAAAACCTGGATTCTTTTTTTCTGTTCTGTATGCCAAAAATGGCCACTAGGGGTGCCCCTAGCTATTATTTAAATTAACAATAAATTCAGTATATTTTTATTTGATGCGATTTTTTCCCACTAGGGACATCCCAGACTACTAGAATAGAAGGATTAGAAGTACGAAATAATCTTAATCTTTGTTGTTGTTTTTTGCCTGGGCAATGCTGGGCTCATCTTCTGGTCTAACTGTATAAAACTGAAAAACCAGATTCTTTCTTTTCTTTTTTTCTTTTCACTGTATGCCAAAAATGGCCACTATGAGTGCCCCTAGCTATTATTTAAATTAGCAATATAAATTATTTTATATTTTTATAGTATAATATTCAGTATATTATTATTTTTATTTGTAATTTAGTATGCCCTGATGCCTGCATCGGGCCTTTCAACTTGTCATGGTTTATAACTCTTTTTTAATTTTATAGATATCAAATCTTATCTTTTTCTATTTTCATAGAAAACACATTGATGTGATTTCTCTTAAACTTGAATAAATGAAACTTTATTGACTTCTATAATAAAAATGATGCATTTTTTTTTCTTTCATATGGACAGTATTTTGAAAGAAATTGAATTTATTACAAATGCAGAATTTCCCACAATATTTCTCCCATCTTTGTTTTGTCATAAATTTCTATCTGCATTTCAGCATATTTTACCAATTTGTACAATGATTTTTTTTAATTATGGTTAGAGGCCATTGTTTGCCATTCTTATAGTTGATCTTTCATTCTTTAATCTTTTTAATACCCTTGCAGTTTTAAGCCAAATGTTTTCTTTTGCAGATTATACAATATCATTTTACTTTCTGAAGATTTTTTGAGTAAATACTGTAGTAAAAGAAACAATTTGATTTAGTATTTACTTTTTAACATAAGTAATGAATAATTTTTAAAACCCTTTACTTTTGATTATTTTTCAGATTTTAAATGAAATTGCTCAAAATAAAATAAAGGTGTATGAATTCCCAGAATGTGACGATGAAGAAGAAAACAAAGTACAAAAACTATTAAAGGTATGCATTAATCAGGTATGATTTCTTAATAAATGTACAGTAGAGTACAGCTGATTATTTATTGTTCAAAAATTTTTTAGAGAACTTTCTTAAATAAATCTCCAGTAAGTTATCACCTTTAGAATGACCAATGTATTTTTACCACTATTTTTTTTTTTTTTACCAGAAAAAATCTTTTGCTATCCTAGTTTTTTTGGTAAAAGTTGCTTTTTCAAAAATTAAGTACTGATGATGTATAAGGAGAACATTGAGTTAAATGATTTGGCTAATATNAACTGTTTGTTAGCATAATTGCTAACACAATTATTTTTTTTTATAGCTGAATAAAATTGTAATTGTTATTGTATAATTTTATTATTATAATAAATTTTATAAACTAAGTAAGGGGGAACTTTATCTCTGCTTCACTTCCTGTCTTAAAGGCTTTAACCCCCTATTTCTATATTATTATTATTATTATTTATTTATTTATTTTTGATTGAAAAAGCTTAAAATCATTATAAACACATGTATTTAATACATATAAAATAGATTAGATTTATAATATGAACTCTTAAAGTTTGCTTTATAAAATGGTATATTATATAGTTTAATTGTAGTATAGGATTATTTTATGTACATAACTTTTAAAAATTAGTATTATTTTATTTATTTAGTTTTTATTTTGAGAACTTCTGCATGAGTTTGTCTAATTAATCTTACAAGACTTTTTTTAAGATAAATATTTATATTATTATATCAAACCTTATAATTTAAGACTTTCATTTAAAAATAAACTTAGTTATTTATCTACTAATATAGTACATAACTTACATTTATGAAAATAGACAATATATTCTTAAATGTATACTAGGAACGTATGCCATTTGCTGTAGTTGGAAGTAATACACTAGTTGATGTAAACGGTAAACAAGTAAGAGGAAGGAAATATCCTTGGGGTGTAGCTGAAGGTATTTTTTTTTCTTTAATATTTATAAAAATTATCATTATTTTTATGTATTTCTGATTTTTTGAAAAGTTATGTAATCATAATAATAATATTTCCATGAATATATGGGCTGATTGTCTGCAAATAACTAATATATATATGTACTTGGTATTATTGAGTGTAGATTAAAATAAATATCTTGTTTTTAGTTATAGAATATATACTGTCATGAGGGAAAAGAGTTTAATAAGCAAAAATTATTTTGATGATTATAACATTTCACATATTTTTAATCATTTATTTTCATCTGCTTCATAAAGATAAAGTTCAGTATAGTTCTGGAAATTTGACATTCTGTAAAACTTGTGTCATTTAAAAACAAGAAATACATGTAAACTAATTTTTATCTGTATAACGTAACACTAGGATCAAATAAGTTATTGTTATTCACTGGCATCACCTGATAATAGCATTAATTCCACATGTTAACAAAGAGTATAACCCTTTTCCAAGATGCCACTGCAAAACACCACCATGTAAGTGTCACTAATTCAAAAGCAGTCACTAAGTATCTAATGTTTTTTTAAATTAAAATTTAACGACAAACAGAAATAGTCATTACTAGTACATAGTTAATACATATACAAATTTGCACATATAATATCTTTATGAAAATTTTGCTATTTAGACTAGCATCATCACTATCCATGAAATCATCGTTTTTGGTAATTATTTGGTAACCTTCTCATTCCTAATTAATTAAGTCAAGTTTGCAGGCCTCTGTTGTATTAGGAAAGATATGTTAGAATGTAGTTAGCATATTTTGAAACATTCAAATGTACTAAACTTTAAGTAAAAAAAAAAGTACTTGAAATTGTGAAGAGATTTTAAATTCACAAGTATTGCTAATGGTTTATATAAATATATATACAGTAAAACCTGTCTATGGTGACCATCTACGGTTCCTTCAAAAAGTGGTGTTTTTAGACAGGTGATTGTCCAATACAGGTGCTCCTGTATTGGACAACCTTTGCTGGTTCTTTTAGCCATTTCTACTAAAAAGCAAAACTCAGGATGAGCAAAAATAAGCGAATTTTTTCAGTGATAGAGCTATATTGGTATTGTATTTTATTCTTATTGGATAACCCAATTTACAGGAATTGTTGTGATATTATAAGACAGATTTAATACCAATATTTTAAAGATTAATACAATACTCACATTTTCTTGATTATAATGCACACTTTCTTTTTTCTGACTTAATTAATTCGACTTGGTTCTTTTCATTTGTTCTTNGGAAAAATATGACTAATCTGTCTAGTGGTAAAAAAACGAAATTACTTTCCGAACAACCCAATATAATTCTTTCTAATCATATTTATAAATAATATAACTATGATTATAAAGAATATAAATAAAATATAATATAAATTTATCTTGTTGTGTTTGTATAGAAAGTGTGGTAAAATTTTCCACATTGCTGGAATTATGGATTTGAAACTTGCTCCAAATAGACTTGTAGTAATTTCAAAATTAACTTTTTATTAATTATCAATGTTTCACCTGCATTAGTAATAAGTTGTGAATTATTCATTTGTGTTTAGCTAATATATATATGTTACTGTGAAAGACCGAAATTAGAGAATGTCAATATTCTCCGGTGAATGTTGACACATACAAAATACGTCGGTGAAAGACCGAATATTTAGTTATATTATTATACATTCAAACAATCGCTGGTGTATGTCGACAAACACAGATAAGCTTTGGTGGAGGTCAAAACGACACCTGAAAAGCCGATGTCGACAGAGAGGCAACAGTTGTCGCCAAATCCTTTATGGGTAGTCGAGGTAGGATAAGGTCGTACCTCTTTTCCTGGCAACAGTTTGGTGGAAATCACCCACTTTGTCACTGGATGGTGTTTTTGTTCTTTTGATCCCATGAGATGGGGATCGGTTAGTCAGGTCAAGTGGCGGAGGATGAGAGGGGTCGTCGGTAAGGTGTCAGCGATATTCGAATAAAAGATACCATTAACAGATCAGTTCGTAATCATGTTATAACGTAATCAGTTCGTAATTTGTAAAGAAAAGTTACTTTTCGTAGATGATATTTCTTCTCAAGAAATATTGCTGAGAGAAGCAGCTACAGCTAATTCGAAAAGTGGAGGGTAAGGATATACAGTAGAGCTCCCTATAACACTAGATAATTCCATGTTATATGAATTCCATGTTGTACGAGTCACTTAGCTTTTACAAATATGTGAGCCATTCACAGCCCAGCACACATATTTGTAAAATCTAAGTGACTCGTACAACATGGAATTCATATAACACGGAATTATCTACAGTATTATAAGGAGGTCTACTGTACACGCTGTCATTGCAAAAAGAAGTGTTCCACGAATAAATGCAGTTGTAAAAGCAAGGGACAAGAGTCCCTTGCTTTTAACCATTGCAAAGAGAAGTGTTCCACGAATAAATGCAGTTGTAAAAGCAAGGGACTCAAAGTGCCATAACAGTTTAAGTTATTGCAATAAATAAGATTGTACAATGTCAATCACATAATTTACGTATGAGTTTATTATTGTATTATTTTCATTAATGATTTCGAACGTACAGTACTGTTCGTTGTAGGTTCAACAGTTTATTTACATGTGCTGTTACTTAAACTTTCTCCTATTTTGACATATTAAAAAGTTGCATTTTTGTCTTAACGTAATAAAAATATTTTTATTCAACATTCACCATCAGTGCATGCTGAATGTCGACATTTGCTGGTGTAAGTGAGAAAT